TGATATATGCAAACTTAGAACTATAGGATATACACTACACACTACAGGTTCCTAGATTAAGAAAAATATTACCTATTAAGTTTATCGACTTTCGAAGTTCTCTCATATCTGCTTCTACCTTTTTAAATAATACTAAAAATCTTCATGGAAGTAACTCTATAAATTGTAATAAGTATTTATTTTGTTTTAAATTGTAATAAGTATTTGTATTAATTCTAGTTTATATCTGTTTATATCTGCCTGGAAACAAAATAATAGCTAAGAATATATCACTACTTTTATTTTATATAGTATTTACATACGTATAAAACTGACGCCTGTTTAGGTAAAGCTGTGGTGTATAATAAAAACATTACTTGCCATTACTTTATTAGACCTCTTTTATAGAGGTGAGCCTGATGCAATTTATTGGCTCAATTCTTTAAGCCCAGAGTGAATGGGTTGATTGTAAACTAACCGACTCCATTGCTGAACACGAGGTGAGTTAATATAGTAGACACTACCAAAAATCAAAGCATTCATTTCAATTTATCCATAATTAGGCAGTTTTTAAACGTCAAATTGAATAGGGTAGATGCCTAACCATCCGTCCGTCTGGTAGATTATTTTAAATCATTAGGCACGTATTTTTTATTTTCTTACAGAAACAAATAATTTCGACGATATATTGATTTGAAATGTTGCGTGACGTCACTTCTATGTTCATTTTATACGTAGAAATGACGTTTTAGCCCCCAATCCTAAACTTTGTTTTTTTATCTACGAATTGTTTAATCATACGAAAAAAAAACGTGTCTAATATTTTTTCATTACCTAACTTACGGACTAATTATATTTTTACTTCTCATACCCTGTCATCATCCCAATTGTCCGTCAGTCTGTATATCAGGTGTCATGAATAAAACCATTAGGTGTGTCCTGTGAATCCAAAGGATGTGTCAGAAGCAATGGAAGATTCAATGCCCCATTAAATAAAAATGTGATGATGACTATAGTAAGTTCTAGTTAGGTAAAAATTACCCACTTCCTAGTCTGTTTCTATGAAAGCAAAATGAAACGGCACGTCCAAGATGAATTTGATTATGTAACACAAAAATTATACATATACCTAATCAGGTAGAAATAATATTTGCAAGATTGAGTTTATGAGTAATAAATAGGGGGAGTCCGGGAGAGTTTATCCACCTTTGACTAAAATGCTCATAAATCACTTTATATTTACAATATATAATTTTCTACAAATTGTACACTAAGCTGCATTAAGTTTTTATTTTCAAAGAAAATTTTATAAAATCATAATACTTTATAAATAATTAACGATTTTTACCGAAATGAGATTTGGCTAATATCTCCCGCCTGGGTGGGAGACTTGACCCGCAAAGAAGGGAGACTTTACCCGGGTTTAAAACTAGGCAAAATAAAAACAACTAATTATAATTTTATAAATAAATTTATTGAAAAAACATAGCACATAATAAAACGTAGTAAATGAGAACAAGAGCTACATAGTTGAGTATCTTTGACATACGGGTAGTGAAGAATTAAATACTTATCTCATATCACAGTAAGTGTTTATAAACATTTATCATTTGAAAATCTTTCTAACATAGTTTATAACAATATAATTAAGAATTTTCACAACCAACAGTTATTTTATAAAGAAAACAGTCTTTCTACAGCATATTATCTTAAAAATTTAACAATATCTTATCAATATGGAGAAAAATGCTAACTAATATAGGCTAGGTATCTTTGTAGCAAACATAACAGTCTAAACCTATTATATCTGTGTCATAACTAAAAAAATAACTAAGGTACAAATAGTAAAACGCTAAAAGTAGGGCAGTAAAATAAACAGACTTTCAAAACTAGGAACAAAAAAACTCAAAACAAAAAAAAAATCTTCGAAAAAAATCTCATAATCACCAGTCTTCCTTTTTTCGTTGGATCAATTAGGACAAATGAACTGTTCCTTATTTTCATTTTTAAACAGTCCAACGCATATTTCATGGACATTTTTACCACAAAAAGCGCAGTCTCATATCCATAACTTCGTTTTCTCCACAGATGAAACAATACCAATTATTTTGTACTTCATTTCATGAACTATCAGAGCTATCTTCATATTTGGGCTTGTCTTCAAGGTCTGTTTCACTGGCACTTGACTGTAAAAGTTGTCTTTTTGCAGACTATTTCATTGCTCTACCTATTTGTTTCTGTTTAGTTAATTTGATTTTTTTCTCAAACTCAATTCACTTTCTTCTTCTAAATCCTCTAAACCAATCTTTCTTCTTCTAATTCCTGCGCAATTGTTCGATGTCCATAAAGCTGGGACCTTTTTGGAATTACTGGTTGTTTTTTTGGATACTTACCTGAAATAAAAAACAAAAAAAATGGTTGTCTGTAAAGTTCAAGGGAAACAGAGGGAGAGATTACCCTGGGTAAAGCCTCCCACCGTCGCCAGGGTAATATCTCCCACCCCACACCAAGCTGTCTGTTATTCAATTTCTAAAAAAAACTATAATATTTAAATAAAAACTGTCTGTTGTAAAGGTTATAAGGATAATTACACTATAGATATATATTCATGACACGCTGAAATCTATAAACAGTAAGCAATAGCACCCAAATCTCGAAAATTGGAAAAAATTACTTACCGGGCACAAAAATCTGTTTTCACGTGTTACTCGAAAACAAAACTGCCGATCGCAACGCCGCCACGTGAGCAAGGTGGGAGGGGACTATGAGTTTTAAGAAGTGTGGCAATTTTGAAATATCTAGTTATACAGAGATTCTATGATCAGTGGCTATTGTCTCCTCCCTGCTAAACTCTCCCGGACTCCCCCTATACGTTCAAGCGTACAACTCATTTATATTAATTACAAGGGATTGATAAGGGTCCATAACATAAACAATGTGAACATAATAATATTAAATCTTGTATAGTACGTATCGTTCAACTAAATAACTACCTAAGGTAATTTGATTTTGTTAAAATTAGCGAAATTAAAATATAATTACGACTTGAGATCTTATCACCGTCTTTTGATCTTTGAAAGTAATCGAGGCATGGTATATGTATGTCGCGGAGAACCTAACGGGTTACTGGGGCTCCGGCTCGAAGTGCAGGAGAAGGAACGGGGTGGTTTTTAGTCAATAAGAGTCTGACACTCCCTCCCGCCTTGGTAAGCAGTAATTCGATGATTTTCCATAAGAAAACATGGTACCTATATATATAAATAGGTACATTTATAAAAAAATTAAACTGATTCTAAAAATAAATCATTAATGCTCGATTTTCCAGCTTCCCAGCTGTGAGCGGTAGTTAACGTGAAATGTTCTTTAATTTTTTATTTTACTTGACGTTTCGACAGGTCACTCTGAGTTGAGTTACAACTGTTGTGCAATGTTATCGAAATTCAAACAAAATATTTTAATAATAATTCTTTTATAAACTACATACATAACATCACGCCTTTTATCCCCGAAGGGGTAGGCAGAGGTGGTCATTACGGCACTTAATGCCACCGTACAATGTAACACCCACTTTTCACTATTTATGTTTTGAGTCCCATGTAATAGAGGGTGAGTCAATTGCCATATACCGGGCACATTTCTAGGCTCCGTGCTACTACTGAGATTTATTTTAAAAAACACAACCCGGCAGTCGCACTTGTGACCACTCGGCCAACGAGGCAGTCATCTTTTATAAACTACGTTTAGAAAACCGACTTTAGTCTCCTCTTTTTTGAAGTCGGTTAATAATATATTTTTTTATGGGATAAGCCGGTAAACGAGCAGACGGATCACCTGATGGTAAGCAATCGGCATCGCCCATGGACACCTGGAACACCAGAGGCTTTACAAGAGCGTTACCGGCCTTTTGGGATTAGAATTTTGAGGATTGTTGGGGATTCAGGGTCAGATTCAGGGTGGGAGAGCCATGCTTCGGCACGAATGGGCCGGCTTGACCGGAGTGATACCACGGCCTCACAGAAAACCGACGTGAAGCAACGCTTGCGTTGTGTTTCGTCTTGTGAGTGAGGTTCCCGGAGGCCCAATTACCTTCCCCTTCCCCAATCTCCCCAATCCCTGAATCCCCAACGAACCTCAAACTCCTAATCCCCAAAAAGCCGGTGACGCACTTGTAACGGCTCTGGTGTTCCAGGTGTCCATGGACGACGCCGATTGCTTACCATCAGGTGATCCGTCTGCTCGTTTACCGGCTAATGCCATAAAAAAAAACAGCTTATTCATAGGCAAATGCCTACCTCAATAACGGTTATATGGAAATACATTTTTAAAAAAGACTACTTATTAAAATACGTTCCATAAGATACTTTTCCTCACTGTAACGATAGTAAGTTTAATAAGTTTTCTGACAAACATCCTGATTCTTTCGACACTTTCCTCATGGTTGAAGTACAAACGAGAAATGAGAGTGCTGTAAATAAGAATTGAAATGAGAGTTCAGTTAAATAAGAATTGACTTCTAAAAAACAGGACGTATTTACACGAAAAATTATAAATTCGTTAAAAAATATTAGAGTAGTTGCAAAAACGCCATGTACGAGTTTTTGAATAAATCAAAACAGAATTCGTCAAATATTTATAAAGTTAGAAGCTTTTCCGATGAACTGAGTACCTACAAAGCTTCCGTAATTAAATTCGTTTGTTAGATAGAACAGTTGGCTTTTATCACAGTGTGTAACCATATGACCTGCGTTGATGTTGGCAACTGTGTGAAGGATTCCTCCCGACGAGGACCAAAGAGTTCCCACTCTACGTTCAGTTTGGCGCGAGATCCCGCTGGGAACGTACGCGGTATTTTCTTACCCGTCTCACGCGTATAGTTGTTATCGGAAACATATTGCTGTTCGAATTTTAAATAGTGAGCAATAAATATTTGTTTTTTTTTATTTTCAAACGAGAAAAGTTTCTAAATATAAAGTTGTTCTGATTAAAAACATAGTTTTTGTCTATTTATTTATACCGTCATTATGATTGTTTTAATGCTGAGTGGTCTGTTGATAGCGGGTAAGTAATTGTATCATATTAACGTTAATTTTACTATTTTGAGAAAAATATAATTTACCAATTACGATTTTTCAAAACCAACAAAATATTGTGTGTACGAAAAAAATCAAGAAATTTATTTTTTAAATTTAACTTGGGTATTTACACACATTATTCTTTACTACCTTATATAACGAAAAAACTAACGTAAAAACTCGATCACGCCTGAAGAAAGAAACATAACAATTACACTGCTTAAAACGTAGCATTAATACATCCAATAATAACTAAAGGTGTTTAAACAAACCGACCTACAGAAATTAAACATACCCTTGTCAAATCAATGTTCACTCCTCCTTTCATCCGTCAATACGGGTCTCGTCTTTACAATAAGTCAATTAACGCCTCTAGTAGTTCTGTTCTATTACTCAATAGGAAATATACTACCGACGTCTTCCAACGTGGCAATTGAAAATCTGACAGTATCCGTTCTCGGAACACCCAACAGAAATACAAATCGTTTAAAGACATTTTGTTTTTATAGTTTTCTATTTTTCTTGTTCATTATTCTTTAAAAGAATCGAGCTATTTAGTTAGTTTTAACAAAATGCACGGGGTAGGTTCTAAAGCGTTAATATTTGCCCAGCACAAGGGGCAGGTTATAACATTGGCTTTTGACAAAAGTATATTACCTAGTTATTGATAACATAACCCAGATTAAAGATTTGATATTACATAAAACATATTCAACTAAATAAAAAAAATGTTAATTAAGACCCATTAAAGTGTGCCTAAAACAAACTAAGTATCTAAAATGTCTTCCAAAAGTCAGGTCCTTGATCCTTTGACGTAAAATTAGGTTAACCTTCTGACTCCGTCAACTATCCACGGGTTACTTAGCTGATGTCTTGAAACTTTAAGTAAGCACGTGGCTTAGAGATAGACGCCATACTGTACTTAAGTGAATTTGCATGAGAAGATCGTGGACTATGTGTATACTTAGGTTGCATCTCAATTTAAGTCACCTTCCAATTTATGTTAACAGATTTCTACATGCTCTACCGCTTGTAATATTGTTTATAGTTCGTTCGCGTTAACAATGCAGTGAATCATCAGTGCAAGTGTAAGATAAAGGTGTATGTAAGTATACACAGTGGTATGAAATTTAAACAAAGTATATTTTAAAAGATTAAGCTTAATGAAGTTATAAAAATGCACTTAAAAGTTTAAAATCAATTTAGGAAACGGCGCTAGGCTGACGGACAATGATGACCTACTTCATGCTTAAAGCGAATGTACTATAGAGACAGAAATTCCTGTTTTGTTAACAAAATTAAAAATAAAATCAACAGAAAAAAAAATATTAACAAGCAGGTAGGTAATTATTTTTTTATTCAAACGAATTGTCAAACAAAAACATTAAAGATTGTAATTGAACATGAACAGCAATATTTATTAAACAGTTTGTAGTGTGAGATATAAATATGATGTGTTACTCATACTTCCAGCATAAGATTATCAATTACCTATGCGTGTTCAAAAAAAAAAGAAGAGATGAAAAATCGCATCCCGTTTTTAAAAAACGAATAATGGAGGCCATTGAAATGAAATAATGGTTAGTCAAATTGTAATTAAAAAATGTCGTTTATAACGGATGAAACCGCTGTCTCTGTTCATTATCATCGATTCCCCAAATACAGTCTATTTGATATTCAAATACTGTTTCAGCCCTAAATTTAATTAAAATCGATCAATGAAGTTTCATTTAATTGATTACGATTGTTACATAGTCCGCCATTATAGAATTAGTGACAAGATCTTAATTAAAGTCTTTCTCTGAGTCGGCAAATATTTCTCTTTATATTGAAGACAAAAATACATGACCTTTTTACCAGTATTATTAGGTAGTTGTTTCTGTATACTATCTTTTGAGACTGCCTCATTGGTTGTATTGTTCTAAATGCGTAGCTTTCAAATGTAGGGCTTAAAAAATAGTATTTTTATTTGTGTACTAATTGTATTAGTACTAATTGTATTACTATTTTGAAACAGAATTTTAGAAAAACAATGAGTGTTTGGAACTCATCTATTTATTTATTTTCTTTCATATTACTTTCTGGACTACTAAATATGATTATGTAAATTATAATTACTACTAAGCTTGAAGTCACTTCTAATATACAACCAGTTAGTTGGTACACGCATACTGAATTTTGAAATCTGTGTCGAGTCAGTATTAGGTATTCACCTCAGCTTAAAACTATCTTCTAAAACTTTATAAAATTATCCGTATTCAGTATACCAAGTTATCTTAACATTTAATGGAACATTTGGAATTTATAACTATACAGCTAAAATAATGGTTTTACCCGGTGTATGTACATATGTATATGGTAAACAAACCCAAATATGACAAGGGACTCATTACACAACTGGACTCAATTTTTTGTTATATTTCACAAGAGTACCTCTGTCTAACTGCCTCGTTAGCCGAGTGGTCGCAAATGCGACTGCCGGGCAAGGGGTCTCGGGTTCGATTCCCGGGTCGGGCAAAGTATTACTGGTACTGGTATATGGCAATAGGCCCACGCCCTATTACATGGGACTCATAACATAAATAGTGAAAAGTGGGTGTTACATTGTACAGTAGCATTAAGTGCCGAAATGTGCACCTCTGCCTACTCCTTCGGGGATAAAAAGGCGTGATGTTATGTTACCTCTGTCTACCTCTTCTAGGAATTAACATTTATTATAAACCTTGAACATCATAGAAAGTAAATAAAGAAAGACCCTAAATACGTATTTATGTGTTCACAATAAACTCAAAAGTTACTGAATAGAATGGACTGCTATGCACTCGGCACCATCAGTGTTGTAGTAGATAGAGTGACTTATGAAGATTAGAGCGAGCGGGACTACGAGTGGGAATGGAAAGCCAATTTAAACTGGGCAAGTTTTTGGTAATCTATTTTGCACATGTTTGTAAAACGTGTCACCTGTAAAAGGAATACAGGACTAGTCTAGACATGTCCATTCTAATTATTACAATTCTTCCGTTTCCCTTCTTGTGATTTAAATAGCAAATAAATAGTTTTTTTTTTTTGAGGAAAATCTTCAAATCACTTCTCCCGCCTGGGTGAGGCGAGAGGGAGTGTCAGACTCTTCTTGACTAAAAACCACCGCGTTCCTACTGCTGCACTTCGAGCCGGAGGCTCGGCAACCCGAAGACTTTAGTCTTCCGCGGCTTCGTAAAGAATAAATAAATAGATAGACCTCTAAGTGTAATTCAGTGTTTTTTTCACAAAACGCCAATAGAGAAGCCGATTTCAACTAACTTTAAAATACAAATTAAGAGTAAAATTGTATTTCTTGGATAGACATCACCAAAATAATACTAATGGCCAGTTAAATCAATCTTATGTACATACCAAATAAGAATTAACTGGCGATACTTCATATCTATAAACGTTCCGTGTTCTTTATTTGTTAGGTAGAAGCTATCTTCAGCATATAAAGCCAGTCAGTTAGTATTGAGTGAAGTTCTATAATGCTTGTGACTACTATAATAATAGTTGTCAGCATTCATGTATCAATGAATTGCAGGCCAAACCACTGACAGCGGCGTATTAGAAACTGTTCTGACAGGAGGATTGTTGTAACATTGATATCTCAGTAATACCTGAGCTTAGGTACATAAATTCATTACTGTTACAAAGGATAGTAATAATAGTAGATAATGATGAAACGATCTATCGCACAATGTTAACGAAATGAAGGAATAAATCTGACAAAAACAGTGATAAGAAAATAATGTGCCCTAACAAGACTAAACATTTTTGTTCTTGGAACATACTTATGTGATTCACTGTGTTTAAGTATTCAGATATGGTATTAAAATACAGTTTGTCAATTGAATACCTTATTCTTTCGTATCTAAAACATATTTTAACTTGAGAAATGTTTATACTTTATCTTCCTGTAATAAATAGTACCTAATAATATTTTATTACTATGTGTTTAATCATGACATGTCCAATAATCAAATTTTGTTTTACTTTATTTAACAATACGCCGTTTTTTAACGGACATAATTTTTATCATGTTGATAAACGAAGTAAACAATTAGTGAAACTATCTAAAAATAATCGAGTTTCTATCTGAATATCGCGTATGTAACTATTATGTCATCACCTTTTATTGTAAACATTAAATATATTTTACGAGCTGGCTGTTAACCCGAAACATTTGTCGACTCATCTCAGCATGAGTTTCTTAAAGATTATAGCAATTTGAGTAAAAATTGGAATTTTAGTCCACCTGAAAATAAAAGGCAGAGGCGAGGCAATCTCCATAAATTTACATTTGTCAGCCACCTTGGAATTCTCGCTTCATCGGTGTGTTATTTGTTTTCATTGTCAACCTGTGAAGAAGAAATGTGAAACTTAATTTTTTGTTATTCTGTTCAAGTTTTATACTTTTATTTATTGTTTTCGAGGTAAGTACCTATATCTACGAGCTTATAACCGTCCGCAAAATATTATGTTCATATTATCAAAGCTGACATTGAATTGCTGTTTAAAGAAAACAAGCAACATCGACGATTTTCAGCACCTTTGTTTTTGAACACCACTTACAATGATTACGTAATAAACGTATGAACATAGAGGTACATTATCATAACTACTTCGTACAGATTCCTAGTTAAAGCTATTCAAGCGAGCACTTTCTTAATGAAAGCCATCCACATGCCAACGCGATGTCAGAGATGAGAGAATTCGAGCAATTGGGACACTAACCTCTTGATTTCAATACAACGTGAACTACATGACAAACAGTTTTCGCTTCCTCTGGACCTGATTCAGTAATCTCAGTACACAAAGAGGATCAACAAAGATGAATGTTATTATAACAAAGGAAGATCAACTGCTTTGCGTGAATTTTCATTTTTTTTTCTTCCGAGCAAAATGTACTTTCTAAGTTGTAACGCAAACAATGGGAGAATTTTGCAAGAACATTTGTTT